AGGACAGAAACCAGCCTGACCCCATGTCCTCACAGCCCTGCAAACCCAGACCCACCCTCTTCCTTCATGGGTTCAGTGCCTCTGCCCCTTGGGAGGAGTATTGTGGAAGCTGAGAAACTAAAGACTGAAACAGACATGTTGACAAAGCGGCCCCTAAAGTCCCCTCTGAGTTGGCAAGTAGGGGCAGAGACGGCTCTGTGGGAAGTCCTACAGATTTCCTGCCTCGTCAACAGAATTATGCTGAGTAAATCACTGTCCGCTGGGCCCCATTCCCCTGCCTTTGAAAAAAAATGGTGGCCCCACTAGTTGCATCTCCAACCCCGAATGGTTCAAACGGTTGAGGGTGTATCAGCCTCCCAGGGCTCTGCTTTCTGTATAGACAGTCAGAGCCCTCCCTTCAGATTAAATCCAAATGAAATGCAGGAGACCATCACTCACAATCATCTATTCAGAACTGACCCATGGCTCACCCTCCAGTGAACTTTCAAGGCCCCAAGTCACTCAGGAGGAGACTTTCTATCTTTCTTCTTCGGAGTCACCAGTGGATTCGAACCACTGGGAGAAGCGCAGCCTTTAGCGAGCAGTACAACTCCCCACAGACCGCACCCAAGGCTGGTCGCTCAAGTCCATCTAGGGACACCTTGGAAGAAAGGCTTGGTAACCTACTTCCAAAAAAAAGGGGGTAATTGAAAACCTTATTTAGATACAGAGCCATTGTTGTTGGGTGCTCAAGTCAAGTATGACTCATAGTGACCGCATGAATTGCCCTGTCCTGTGCCATCCTCACAATCTCTGACATGCTGGAGCCCACTGCTGAAGTCACCATGTCAATCTCTCTTACTGAGGGACATCTCTTTTGCTGACCCCCTATCTGTCCAAGCATGACATTCTTCTCCAAGGAATAGACTCATCGGGCTACATGTCCAAAGTTTGAGAGATGAAGCTTGCCCATCTTTGCCTCCAAGGAGCTGTCTGGCTATGCTTTTTCTAAGAATTTAGAGTGGAATGTAGTTCTACTCTTGGCATATGAGTCAGAATTTATAGTAACTGGTTAATCAAGATGGATTTTTTTAATGTATAATCCAGTGTTGTTATTGAAGGATTATTGGATGCCACCATTGAACCCTCTCTGAGCCCACTTCGTGGCAAATCCCAATTAGCCATTTGAGGCAAGGACAGCCACAGGCTGGCAGACTCTAAGACGTATTCCCGTGCATTAGGGGAATGATCTGTGTGACTCAGTTCCAGGTTGCTAATGACATTTTCCTGGGAGTGAGCCCCCCACCAGAAGCCATCTGGGGTTTTCTGGTAAGATACAAATAAGCTTTTCTCCCACTATAGAGCTTTGCACTAAGGGTAGAAACTCACTTCTAGCAGTAATGTTTATGCACCAAAGAAGAGCTGCGGAGAGGGAGGAAATCAGAGGGCTGTGAATTTGCTAAAATCTTCTTCAAACCCCAGCTTTGTCTTATAGAGGGGGACTTGGCAAGCAACCACCCTACTGAGCCTCTGTTTTAACTCCTGTAAACTGGAGGCTATAATATCTACCTCTGGTGGCACTCACTCACCCACTCATTCACTGACATGGAATCGGTATTGGACTTGTAACTGACCCTCCATTGGGTTTCCAAGGCTGTAAATCATAACAAGAGGAGCTTGCCCATTTTTCTACCAAACAGTCACTGATGGATCCAGACTGCCAGAGGTATGCAGACTTCAGGTGGGCAGTGAAACCTGCTAAGCTCTAGACCACCACAGATGGCAGTGAGAGAAGTAAATGAGATACTTCTCGCTCAAAGCCTGGCTCGAAGTCTGGCTTAGTGTATTCATATACCGACCTTCCTTCCTTCCTTGTCCTCCATCCTAAAACTGCTTTGCATAGGGGGAAGACACCCTAAACCCCTCTTTTCTTTAAGTGTGGGTCAAGTCCAACTCATCCAAAGGCAAAAAACAGGGTTTAATCCATTGCCATAGAGAGAAAAGCCCAGTGATTTCATTTGTGCTCATCCTGCAAGGTTTTGATTGGTACTCCTCCTCCAGGAAGCCCATCCTGACTGCTCAATTTATACTGGTTTCTCTTTTCTCAACTCCTTTTCCCAGTGTGTCTCAGAGGTTGTTCTCTGGCCATTGTGAGCCCTCCCTCCTCTGTTTCCCCTCCCCTCCCTGAATCCTCATACTCTACAATAATTGTCTTATAAAGTATTTGTCTTTATGAGACTGAGTTAGTTCACTCAGCATAATGCTCTCCACTACCTCCCAAATTCAGTAGTAATTTACAAAATCATTGCTCCTGAGTGCTGCATAGTATTCCACTATGTGAATGTACCATAATTTCTCAATCCATTCTATTGTGCTTGGACATTTGGGCTGTTCCCATGTTCTTGCCATGGTGACTAACGCTGCTATGAACAAGTCTTTGTGCCTCAGTTCTCATTTTCTCTGAGTACAACTTGAAGTTGTCTATCAGCCAAGGATGGAACCTTCAAATGGTGATGATAATGACATTAATAATGGCAACAGTTACCATAATTGGTTATTTGTCACCAGCAAGTCTATGCCTCACACACACAATCTCATTTAATCTTCCCAACAGTCCTTTGAAGTACAGGCTAACCGAACTGGGTTTCTTCATGGTTCTGCAACTCTCTGGCTGTGTGACTTTGGGAAAATTATTAAATCTCTCTGAGCCTTAGTTATCTTTCCTATAAAATGGGAAAATACAGTGCTCATTACATAGAACCGTGGTGAGAATTAGTTAACACATGCAAATTGCTGAGGACAGTGACAGGCATGGAGCAGGCTCTAATTATCATCCTAATTATCGTTGCTGGTGCTGTTATTACCTCCATTCTACAGATGAAGAGATAGAGGCTCCTTAGAGGGGAAGTAACTTTCCCAAGTCTCAGAGAGCTAGTGAGTAGCAGTCAGTTCTCAGTCGCCGTGCCCCTTTCTCTCGTCCTGCAATCTGAACACACAGCTGCGCTAAATCGCAAACCAGAGAGGGTTTCTGAGAGAGCCCAGCCAGCTCCTCCTCCAGGACAGGGTCCCTTCTGCACAGCCCCATGAGACAGTAGGCAGCCTCTGCAAGACCTGCAGTGTGCAGGGTTCTCAGACTGCAAGAACCACGGCTGCTGGGTGCTCGGCACACAATAGTCCCCAAATGCTTGATGACTCTCCACCCTCTCCTCCCAGCTCCCAGAGTGGTCTGTCTGGTCAGTGGGGCTCAAGACCCTCTTGGATGAAGATGCTGGAGCCTCCAACACTATCCTCAGTCAATCTCCAGTGCCGTCCATCTGTTCACCTCACCCAAAGACAATGGCGTCTCTGCCTCTGTCTGCCCCAGTCCCTCCTCCATCCTCCAAGGAAGTTCCGTGGGGGAAGAGGCGGCCCACTTCCTGGGGCAGGTCATGGTGGAGACACAGCTGCCTGAGGCACGAGGCAGCCAAGCAGCCCGGCAGGTGAGTCACCACCTCGAGCACACAACTCTGGAGGAGGCAGTGGCGCCAGGTGGTACAGGTAGCCCTCTACCTCCATCGTGCCCCTGACACAGCTGCTGTGATTGTCCCCTCCTTTAGGGCCCTCAACCCCCTCTCTATTTTCACTGCCCACCCACCTTCAACCAGGCTTTAGCTCCTGCTTCCCAAATGGGTTAGACCTACTCCAGACTCATTTTCCACCCATGACCAGTTCCTCACTCCCTCTCATCCAACATCCATGAGGCCAACCCCACCTCTGCCTCTAACTGCATTTACTCTAGTTTTCTGATCTGAGATGGTGATTCTTTACCAGAATAATCTGGCCTCCCAGGACATATCTGGAGATATCTGGGGGCAGGACATGCTACTGATGATAGGTAGACACTGAGTATAACGATTAACATCCCACAAAGCACATGACACAGAACAGCCCAGACAAAGCACCATCCTGTTAACAGTGCTGTGACTGGCGGACCCTGCTCTGGCCTCAGGGCTGGAGAACTGTCAGATGCAAACAGTTGCACGGTTCTCCCTCCTGTCCTGCCAGCACCATGATTTGTCTGTCTTCTCAGCGCAGCCTTGGAACTAGGAAACCCCAGAGACTCCTCAAAGTCTAAGAAGCCAGCCTGGAATCTTGGTCCTGAAAACCCTTCCCAACACTCTTCTACTTCCCAGCGGGGGCAGAGAAGGTGAGACCCCACATCCAACCACTCTCCTTAAGTGCATGACAATATGGTACACAGAAAGAGCGTGACGCATGGCCATTGAACAGCCAACGGAACCAATCGGAATCCCTCCTCAGCGGCTGCAGGCAGATCCCAAGTGGGTTGAAATCCTAGCTGTACTACTTAGTAACTGTGTGACTCTGAAGAAATGCCCTGTCATCTCTGTGCCTCTTCATCTCATCTGCTAAATAACCAGCCGCCTGCTAGGTTGACTCAAATTTTTGGTGGCTCCCTGTGTCTCACAGTGAATTGTGATTTTCAAAGTGCCCAATGGCCAATGCTTTTCTGAAGGAGATCTCAGATGCCTCAGGGTGGACTCAACCATTTGGCTACCTTGAGACTAAATCTGTCAAGTGAGGTGGTATTAATGATAATAAACCCTCGTTCTTAGGCTTTTTGGGAGGTTTAAATTCCTGGATGCTTGTCAAGTGCTTAAAAGAGTATCTGATGGTTTTTAGAAAAATTTTCAATGCTCTGCATTCAGGCTCTGAAGGTTGGAGCTAAACACGCCTCTTCTTATTCTTATGTGTCCCAGACAACCCCCTAAGGTCAGTCTGCAGGACCTTCTGACAGAAAGAAGGGACAGGCTCCAGTGGAAGCAGCAGCCACCAAGTCACTGAACCAGAAGAACCTGGCCATTACAAGCCTCTTCTAAGCCCCTTCCAGCCTCCAGCACAAATCCCTCAGCTGGAGTCTTCAAGGAAAAAAAAGGCAGAGAAAGGAAAGGAGCTAAGATTTCAGGATTGGCTGCTGTTCTGAGGTTAAACCTCAGAGGAGGGCAGCCAGGTCAGGCTCTTACCCATAAATGTCCACGAGGGTCTCCACGCCAGCTACACACACGGCGCTGGTGGGATGCTCCAGGGACACGCGCACGATTCTCTGCATAGACATACTGGCCTTGGACTGGGCTGTGGCCACTGAACCCAACACAGCCCCTGAGTTTGTAGTTTAAAGGACCCTGGCCCCGCCTTTCCAGCTCAGGGTGCTAGCTCATTGGCTCCATTCTTGGTAGTCCAGCCCATTGGCCAGACCAAGAGCTCAGGATTGGCTACGAGGAAGCCGATTATTTGCACATGAACCTGTTGCCCCTTCTCTCTACTCCCATTCTCAGAGAGTTAATATCTTTCCCAAAGGAGCAAGTTCCCACAGGTATCCAGGCAGGATGTCAGGATGCCTGATTGTGTGGGTTGGAAGGGCAGGATGTGTAAGTGCGGGTCCAAGGCCCTGCCTCACTTTCTATACCCGCCCTCGGTCACCCCCTTTTCTTCCATTTCAGAGATAGAGTGGTTTAGTGACTAGGAGAGTTGGTGAAAATGCATCTGGCTACGGCCAGTTGAAAGGGCAGTTTAGCATCCGGGTTTTAAATAAACACTCAAATACACTCTGCCGTGCATCAGCCTTTTGCCGAAAGCATGAGTTTTAGAGAGTCAACCCTGCCTCTGCCACATCTTGACACGGTGACCTCGGACAAGCCACCTAATTGCACTGTGCCTCACTTTTCCCATCTGAAGAAAGGTGCTTGTGAGGCGTAAGTAGGATAATGACAGCAGAACCCTAGGGGAGAGCCCGGAGTTACCCTATCATTGGTGCTGGTGTCACTATTATTAGATGTCACAAGCTTCCGGAAGAGTAAGTGATGGGGACGAAAATCTGCCCCAGTCAGGGGAGCCTAGAACCTCGTGCATCTGGTGGGAAACGGAGGCCAGAAGGGCATCTGGACATTTGGAACAGCAAGAGTTGGGGTTCTGGGGGAGGTTCCACCATGTGCCGCTGTGGCCTGGGGCTTTCCATCCTCTCTCAGGGTTTGTGTTTGTTTCCTCATCTGTTGAAAATGTAACTAATCACCATGCCTGACAGAGCTAATTGGGGGGGGGGCACACCCTTGGCCTGAGGAGATGCAGAAGCGCTGACTAGAGGTATCTGGCCTTCTCTCTGGTAGTGCTGGCAGCCAAAGGCAGGGTGGGGACCAGCACTTTTCCCCAAAGCCTCAGCCATGACCCTAGACTCCTGTGACCCCAGCTCTCAACTGAGTGCTCTTTCTCAAAAGAAACCTACGGGATTTAATGACAGCCTCGGGTTTATAGCTGTAAATGACTTAGTGGCTCATTCAGCTCTAGGTAAGAGTTATAGTTCCATAGGAAGTCATAGATGGTGTTTTAGCTTTCCTTTGACACAGCCTGGGGAGTAGATACCAAAACTGGGGCCCCCTATAGGGTACTGGCCAATTGTGTTCATGAGGGCTGAGCCACCCTCCTGTTCACAGCCCTGTATCTCCCTTAACTCCCTTGCTTCCACCTCACTCCAGTTAGTACCATCTTTCTTAGAAACAGGTCTGTGGCTCATTTAGACTAAAGTGTGTATGACTGATGGGTATCACAAGTTTGCTTCTTATTCCACAAGAAACTGAAAACAAGGTGGGTGGGTGAGTGGCCAGTGGTACAATCTGAGGCACTAGCAGAGTGAAAGAGGCGTTACTGTCAGGTCCCTGAAATCAGACTGAGGTTGGGTAACTCAGCAGCTTTAGATGATAAGATAGGATCCATCCCTCCCCAGATATTCATCTCTGCAGGACAGCCTGGCTTCAGGGCAATGGGTACATACACTTCCCTCCTGATGAATCAGCTTGCCTGCCTGGGATTGGGGTACCCATGGCCAGCAGAAGTTGAGACAACAAAGAAATGGTTGGCATCGTGCAGTAGCCCCGGAAGTGGTTCCTCCCCACAAACCAATATACAGACTCTAACTAGGCAGCCACTTGAAGAAATGCATGCTGGCATCTTTATTTTTCAGAAAGGAGGTGACTGGTCACCCACAGCCTTCTCACTGGGGCACCCCAACGACCCCAGCAGCAAATCCAGTTTTCCATGCCCCCTCTCTGGAGGGCTTCTCCTCACTTCTGCCATCTCTCTCTCTGCAGTACCAGTCTCTCCTCTGTTCACACAGCCCTTGACCTGAGCATCAACCCAGCTTCACGCCTTTGGCCCCAGAGAACTGCCTTCTTGGCTCAGCTGGGACTGCGTCATGATCACAGGCAGAGGGTGGGCAGGGAAGATGGTGTTCACAAAAGGGGTTCCACGGAGCCTTTTGCAAAAGGAAGCTCTAGGGATACTTCCGGACTTCAGCCAGAGCAGTCCATTTGTTCTAGCATCTTCTTTCCAGACTTTGCTAGATTTTCCATAAGTTTGACAGGAGCTGCCTCAGATGAGGTCTGGCCAGGACCATACTTGCTGGGGCCACCAGAAGCTCAGTTAGGCAGAAGTCCAGTGGCTGACAGTCCAGTGACAACTGGAGAGGAGATCAGGCTGGCCCCAATGTCCCCAGGGCCACCTCTCCCATGCAGCCCAGACAAGTCTACCCACACATGTCCTGGATACCTCACCTGGGGTCACACTATTAAACCTCCCCCCTCTGTGCCAGCTCCCTCTCCTTGCTGTGGGAGGGAACACTGGCCTGCCACAGGGGATTTACTCACAGGTGAAACCCTAGCTACGTGCAGGGTCCCCAGGAAGCTGGCTTCCCCTCCCACTGCCTGCAGAAGGGGAATAATTAGGGACCATTAAAGGAAATTAAGCCCCACCTTCAGAGATAACCTAATGGCTCTCCCTCCCTCCTCTGACATCTGGACCCCCTCCCCCAGCTACATCTGGTATCACCAAGTCCCTTCAAATGCAGAGACCAAGAGCCACAGTGAGCAGAGGCCTCCAGTCCCAAGCTGATCATGTGGCCTTCAGTCTTTGCCTTCCAGTCTCAGTCTCACGTGACCCACCTTCCTGTGTGTTTCTTTCCTCCTCCGGCCTCATATTGGCTTCTCAGCATTTCTGAGCTGAAAGCAGTCAGTGCTCTTAATTAAAGGCTTTCCCAACAGCTAACAAGCTCCCTTCTGAGAACGGAGTCAGGTATTAAAGGGTTTCTGTTGTATTTTTCTCCTCTTTTTAAAAACAAACCCACGGACACTTCAGTTTCCTGTCCTTGTTTATCTGTGTACCGTCAAATGGAGCTGGGTGGTTACTGCCTGGGGCCTCTTTGGGAGAAGACAAGGGGCAGAAGCCGGAGGATGCCTCAGATCTCACATCTTAATCCGGAGGTGGTCTGGATCTGGGCCCCCTCATCCCATAACCCTACGGATCCTCTTCCTGATGCAAATACAGTCATTGTCCTCCAACCCAAGGGAGGTGTCACAATAAAGGGAGCAATCCAAAATGGACATCACCTTGATGAGTAAGGTGCGTCTGACGAGCCATGGTCTTCTCAATGGCCTCATATGCCTATGAAACTCGAACAATATGAAAGGAAGACTAAAGAAGAATTGAAGTCTTCGAACCATGGTGTTGGCTAAGAATATTGACTATACCATGGGCTGCTAGTAGAACAAACCATTTGCAGGAGAAATATAATCAGAATACTTCATAGTAACCAGAGTGGTGTGACTTTGGCTTGCTTACTTGTGAACTCACAGCGAAAAGAAGGAAAGCCTCAATGAGCTGGAATGAATCAATAATTGCAAAGAACTGACTTGAATACACCAGCTATCACGAAGATGGCAGGACTGGGCAACACCACATTCTGTCACACGTCAGAGCCACGTAGACGCAGCTAACAGCAACAATCCAAAGTCCTGCTGAAGTCACCCACAGCCATCCTTGAGGGTGCTAAGGCTGTTCTGATCTCTCTCAGCATCTCTAGGACCATGGGCAGGGATGAGGTAAGGACAAAGGGAGGGCAGTTCCTCCTGGGTTGGGCAGAACCCGTCAGAGGTGGGTGTGGGCTCTCCAGTCCTCTTCCCTGGTGCCCACAGTGGCCATACATCGGCGGGCACTTGGGAAGAGGCGCCCAGGGTCCTCCAAGAGGATGGAGGCCAGGTGGCGATGCCTTGGCCTCATCCTGTTGGGGCTTCCCAGCAGGTGGGCAGAGAGGATGGCTGGTGGGGAGCAGCTCAGGGCACCATGTTCCACCACTTGAAGGAGAAGGGCTTCCGGCGCACGTTGGTGCCACAGTGCACCTCGCCTAGGAGTTCGTGGTATGAAAGGAAGTCGTCGATGAAGATGCAGCGCAGGCCCAGTGGCTCCAGCAGGGACCGCACCTTCTCCTCCAGGCAGCAGCGGCCATTGATGATGGGTCCGAAGGGCTTGGGGATGCCCAGGTACTTGCCTAAGACCACCATGTTGACCTGTTGAAGAAAGCAAGCAAGGATGAGGCTTAGCTGCCTGTGGTCACAATACCAAGGACCCCTGCTAGACTCTGGCTCTGACCATCCAGAAGTTTCTCTTATCCTCGACTGCAGGCTGGGCCCCTCAAGAACTAGGGTTCACTGCCACTGATTGAGTCATTTCTAACTTATATCAACCCTCCACCTTGTACATGTCTGTGGGAGGAGCCTGTCCATCTTTCTCCCTCAGAGCGTTTGAACTTTGTATGTGAACAAAGCATTTGAACAGTGAATTTGAACTACTGACCTATACAACACCATGGGTCTCAGAAAGGGTCTGGAGAAGCAAAAAGAAACAGATTCACAGTTGGATGGAAAGATTAATGGTAGCCAAGGCTGTCAATAACCCACACAGTTTCATTTGAATCAAAGTCATCCCTTCTTCCAAGACTTTCTTCCATCTTTCAGAATTTTCATAAATATGTAAAATAAATACACGTCTTCAAAGTTTACAGTATGAATAACTTCATAGGTTGTGCCCTTGCGCAGTACACAACCTAGTCAACAGTTCCGGGCAGCCCTGATCATTGTTACCATTTACTGAGCATCTTCTATATGCCAGTTATATCATCCGTAAACTCAGTTCCCCTAGGAGGCTGTGGTCAAGACAGGGTTAAGTAATGCAATTAAAGCCACCAGCCAGGGGATGGTGGGACAAAATTGTGAACTTAGGTCCAACTCATGCCAAAATCCATGTTCTTCACATTCTCTCTGCCTGGCACTGGGGCCTCCTGAGAGGCTAAGGGTTTGGGACAAGGGGCTGGGAGTCCGGAGAGCTGATCTGATGACTGATGATAGCTCGACTTCCTCAGTTATGGACTTGGTTTGGGGTCCTAACATTGAGGAAGAGAGGTCTCCCAAGTACAGCAGTGTGGAGGCTTCTTGAGGGAGGTTTCAGTTCAGCCTGATGGCCAGAAGTCTAAGGGACTTCCCTCTGGTCAAAGGGGCCTGTATGGACCCACAGCACAGAGAGTGGTTTTAAGTTCTCTCGGGGTGGGATGGCTTGTCCTGAATCCTGTCACTCCTAGGCTTAGTCCCCCAATCTGTCCAGCGCAGGTGTCTATGACTGAGACCAACAAGAAACTGTAAGAAGCCCCTGGTCAGCCCCATTGCCTTGGTCCTGAACTATCCACTTGCCCACTGATGGGCTAGACCATGCAGGGCTCAGGGGAACAAAAGTGTGGAGACGACTAAGGATTCAGAGCCATAGCTGGCCCAGATTCTGCTTCCTCCCGAGAAGAGGAAACTAGGAGATGGGGCCCAGTCCCAGTTCTGCTTCAGGCAAGTTACCCACTCTCTTTCAGCTGGCCTCAATTTCCCCATCTCCCTAAATAAGGGGTTAGCTGCATGCCCTCTGAGTCCCCTCCCAATGAGGACGTGCTGAGGTCCTTCTCTAGACTGAGTAATAGAATCTTAGAATGATCTAGACTTGAGAGAGTCCCACAGACCGGGTGCCTATCAAGGAGGGTCAAGGCCGCAGCCCAAAGACCCAGGTCAGGGGCTCCAGCCTAGACCTCCCCCCACGCTTCATCCAGAACCAGAGCCAGGCAGTCCCTGGCCCACGTGGTCAGCATTAGCCACACGTGACTACTAAAATGGAAACTAAAGAAAATGAAACTTTTTCATTCCTCAGCCAAAGCAGTCACATTTCAAGTGTGTGGCCGCCCTGTGTGGCTCAGGGCTGTCACGTTGGACAGCACAGAGAGAGAACATTCTCTCACCACAGAGAGCTCCAGTGACACCAGTACCTCATGGCAGCGGGCCCCAACCAGGGGGATGTTACCCCCAAAGGCATTGTTGGTTGTCACAAGGAGAGGTGCTCCTGACCTCTAGTTGGTAGATGGCAAGGATGCTATGATGCACCACACAATGCACAGACAACCCCCACAACAGGGAAAACTTGTCCTTACAGGAACTTTGGGGAAGTGCTATCTCCCCTGCTGCCAATTAGGGCCTATTCTAAACCCTCAGTCTGTCCAGAGAGCAATGTTCACGCTAAAAGCCCCAGTTCAAAGTGGGAACGTCTTTCTCCTATCCTTAGGAGACCATCCTCCCTGGGCTTCCAATACCCCAACATCCTCTCCCAAGGTCTTAGTGAGCACTTTGGCCTGGCCTGCATGGATACCTTCACTCAGGCGCATCCCACATGAGATCATATCAGTGGGTCAGCTGCTCTAAGCTAAATAGAGCCAGCAGCAGCATCTTCTGGCCTGCCTGGACCAGAGAGCCCCCCACTGGGGAACAGAGAGGAGGGCAGAAAAGGCAGAAGAAACCCAGAAACAGAGCAGACACATTTAGCACTAGACTATGTTTTCTTGTTTCATGTGGGGAGAAAAAACCCCTTTGTCGTAAGGTGGTTGTCTTGTGCATTATAGTGTGGTTAAAAGCATCCCTGGCTTCTACTCACCAAGTATCAGTAGCATTCCACACATTGCAACAATCAAAAATGCCCTCGGAGATGGGAGGTGGGGAGGAATGGCCCCTGGCTGAGTCCCACTGCTCTGGGGCCATTATGATTTTCTGTGACCATGGAAATGTCTTATCACTGTTCTTAGTGGGTTTCAACTCCTGGTGACACCTGTGTCACACAGCAGAACTGTGCTTCCTACAGTTTGCCTAGCTGTAATCTTTACAGAAGTAGATTACCAGGTCTTTCTTACATGGCACCCCTGGGTGGATCTGAACCTCCAACTTTCAGAGTAGTAGTAGAGTGAAAACTGTTGGCATCACCCAGGAATCTTGGGAATATTTTCTATCAGCCAGAAAACAAACACTGAGGAGGTCAGCAGAGCCTAGCCTACCCTGTGCAGAGAGGGGTTCTCCCCCGGAGCCCTGGGTGACCCTCCAAGTGCCAGAGACCAGGCTCTCACCATATCAGGGAAGAGAGCTGTTGCAACAGAGGCAGACAGTGAGAAGAGCTGGGGGATGTCGATGATGTCACGTTCCTTCAGGCCCAGCTCCCGCTTCAGCACCTCCCGGTTCCAGTCGATGCAGCTCTGGGAACAGGAAGAGAGGCAGCCGGAGCCCACCCGGGGACAGACAAGGAAGGCATCTCCAGTGCAGGGTCCAGCCCAACCCCTCACACCTGCACTCCTTACACAGCCTAGTGGCGTGGGAGCCATTGCTACACCCACATGGGGAAACTGAGGCTCAAGAGACTGGTCATAGCTGGGAGGTGTGGAGCTGAGTTTGGACCTAGGCAGATCTTATTTTCAGAAGCCCTTGTCACTGCTCCCTATAGTTCCAGCCACAGATTCAGAATGGTTTCTACTCCTGTCCCATTCCAATAGTCTAGAGAGGAAGTGCAGGGCTCCTCCTTACACCTGGTCCTGCAAACACATCTTTGGAGCAAGCCCTGTCCCTTCTTGACACTTTCTCATTCTACTCACTCTTACCTCACAAGCAAAAAAACCCAAAAAACCAATAACCAAACAAACCTAACCAAATTCAATGCCACTGAGTTAGTTCCACCTCATAGCACCTCTTCATCAGGTTTCAGAGGCTGCATACCCTTATAAGGGAGAAGAACGCTCATCTTCTTCCCTCAGGTAACTGGTGGATTTGTTAACTGTTTGGTTAGCACCTCTTCTATAACGCAATATGCCACCAGGACTCCTTCTCCTAACCCAGGAAAGGCCCCATTTCTCCACCATAGCCCTTCCTTCTGTGAGAATCCCATGTTGCATCCAAAGATATCAGTCATTTCTCAGAGCAGGACCAGGGTCTCCCACATCAGACTGGGAGTTCCTGTGACTCTTCCATTAGACTAAGGGTTCTAAGGGCAGAGCCCCTCACCTGTACATAGTGATTGTTACTCCGCAGGGTTTTGTCCCTCAGTAGCTCATTAATGGTTATCTTCTTCCTGTATTTCAAATCTTTAAGAGATTACATGAGATTAGAACCTGGACCCATTTTGAGTTTGTGGTTGTATAATCCAGACCAGGATTTTCCTCCACTTCAGGTTCAAAGTTAGACAAAGATGGAGAAAATGAAAAGCTGGGAATCCTCCAGAGAAAGGCTCTTGTTAGAAATAAAAGATGGTAATGGATTAGAGACTCCTCACACTTCTGGGAAGGACCTCCTAGATGTGGCCTAAAAATTCCAGTCCAGCCATTGTGGAATTGTCAGCACCCTCTGGGATCCCTGCTTAATTCAGCACTCATTTAAAAAAAACAAAAAAACAAAAACCACAACAGTTTCTCTCTCTCTCTCTCTCTCTCTCTCTGCTCTGCTCTGCTGTTGACTCAGAATCAACTCAAGATTGACCCTCCAGTAAGGCTATTTCAGAAGCTGTAAATTGCATGGGAGGAAAATGTTCCTCAGAGTCACTGTTGGATTCAAACCACCAAAAAGGTGTGGCCTTCCTAGTAGCAGTGCACCAGAGCTCCTCAGAGCGTCTAGTTATTATCCTCAATCCAAAGAAAAACTGACACATTGAGAAACTCAGAATATATAAGATGCCACAGCCAGTGATTGCAGGAGCAGGATTTGAACGCAGGACTTTGGATTCCAAAAGCTATACCATACCCCTTCTGATATCAATTCCTCAGGTCAGAAGACTGAAGCCTGTGGTGGGTGCCATATTTGTAGGTCCTTGAAGGTGGTTCCATAGAGGGGCCCTGACCCCCAAGCCTGAGTTCTCGTCCTTTGCTGCTTCCTGGCTGTGCAGCCCTAGACAAGGCACTGATCTTCATTTCCACAAGAAGGAATAAGAAGAGGGTAATGGAGACAGCGATGAGGACAGGAAAGTGCGTGCCAGCGATCAGGCACCCAGTAGAGCTCTCATCCAGTGTTCTTTCTCTCCTAGGAAGTCTGCGCACAGGCACTGCCCCCTTGCTGTGTGCTCGAGATGTTTCCAGCCTCTAAGCTTCCCATCCCTGATCCGAGAAAGGAATAGCTTAGCTCCCACTTGAGTGTGACAGGTGAGTCAGTGATAGCTGTCCTCAAGGCACACAATCTGCTAAAGGAAGACTCCAGAGCCCAGGCAGGTTCCATGCGGCAGGCCACCCAGTCATTGGTACTTACCGTCAAACAGGGCCGCCTCTCCATAGCCCTCCTCTCTCTTCTCCTGGAACAGTTTGAGGCAGGCACTGGGGCTAGCCAAGAGCAGCCGGAAGCCCTGGCACAGAAGGAACAATAAGTTCTCCTTAAATGATGAAGAGGCCTCAAGAGGGGTCTGAGTTTGGAAGCCAGTTCATTTGTAGGCTACTCTATGCTCAGTTGTTCCCACCAAGCCTGCAGAGTGTCTGGAACTCCCTGGTCCTCTTAATGTTCACTCAGGGCTGTTCTCCATGCCCCCCACTGTCCTGCTACACTTTGGCCACCAGGTACTCGATTTTGCCCTCTTCAAAACCAGTTTAGCATTTTCTTCTCTTTCACTGGTAGAAGGGACAGCTCCTTTGTTTCTGATCTAGCAGCCCCTGTGTCCTCTGTCAAAGCTTGGTCAGCACACAGGGCTGTAACCACCTGCTCACCAAAGAGTAACCACCACCAAGCCCTTGCTCTGCAAGGGCAGCAGAACTGGGTGGTGAATGTGGGGCTCACTGTGAGAGTCTGAATCCACGTAGGGCTCACTGTCTGAGTCTGGATCCTATCTTGTCTCTTAAAGACTGTGGGTGACCTCAGATAAGTTAATTGTCCATTTCTTCTGACCCTGTTCCTTCAGCTGTAAAACAGGGACAGTGACCCTAGTACCTACCTGTTGGGCTTGTTGGAGAACCAAATGAATTAAAACCTGTGGCTCATAGTAGATACTGAGTAAATATTACCAAGTCTTAACAGCACCCTCCTGACTCTTGTCTGAGGAATCTGAGTCTAAGCAAATGCCCATCAGTGTGTTCTGCTCTGAGACGCTGATCTCTTCCAGGAAGCCTTCCAGGATTGACATAACTCAGTCTCAAGGTTGCCCTAACCCTAAGTGAACCCTGGACACAGGGGTTGAGTTGGTTCCAGGTAGCTTTGCTGTGTTTTGTTCCATCCGCTCAGGCAGGAGCAAAGACGGCTTAGCCAAGAAGGGTGAACACATACATACATACCTTTGGGTCTGAGGTGGGGACGAAGCTCAGGAACTCGTCCACGTGGCCCACGGAAAGCCAATCCGAGTAGAGTTCCACAGGCGCCTGCACCTGCTGAGCCTTTAGGAAGTTGAAAACCACTCTGGACATCCGCCGCCCCCCGGACCTGGTCAGGGAAGGAGAGAGCGACTGTCACCACCAGCTGGCTGCATGCTGGCACAACATGGGTGCTGTGTGTGCATCTCAAGCCTCGTCACTATCCTCTGAATGGGCCCTCTTTTGTCATCATTTTCAGATGGGGAAAACTGGGCCTCGGAGAGCTGAAACTACAGTGCAAACTATATGCAGCTTTAAGTTGGTGAGGCTGAACCACCTTTCCAATCCCAGCAGCTCTGAGCCTAAACCAAGGCCAGAAGCGTGCTGGGGAAATGCCCCAGGAGATGAGGTTGACACAGAGGGGACTGGTCTTGTGTAGCCTTGAGGGTACCCCCTGCTCACTGTATTGGCTGCTACAGAACTGCCCAAGGCAGGGGCTTCCATGCGGCCACAGATGCAGCCCCCATGTACAGCCTCCAGGTACAGCCTCCAAGTACAGCCTCCAGGTACAGCCTCCAGATACTGACCAACACCCCAGAGCGACCTTGCCTCCCTTACCCTAAAATACCCTCTCCAAGGCCTAAAGGGAGCTCTGGTGGCTTAGTAGTGACCTAAAGGCATACAATTCACACCTACGAGCTGCTCCTCGAAAGACAAGCAATCTCCCTGGTGTGATTTTACTGCCTCTGAAAACCTGCTGGAGGGTCAGCTGTGACAGCATATTGTAACAACATGATTCAAGGACTTCCTTCCCCACCTCTTCCAGGAAACAAATCCATGGAGGGAGCTCCACTTGGCAAAGGGAACCAAGATCCTAATCTCACAATCTGTGAGATTCAGAAAGGTTGGGCCTTCACCCAAGAATCACATAGCCTTATGCTCAAAACCAAAGAGGGGACCTAGTCTTCCCTCCCTCAGTCAAATATTTCCTAAGCATCTCAGGCATGTCTTGTACATGTCAAAGTTTGACCACCACTGTCTCAGGCATTTAGACTGATGCCTTTGAACTGTGGTGTTGGAGAAGAGCACTGAACATCCCACGGTCTGTCAGAAGAATAAATATGTCTTGGAGGAGGTGCAGCCAGAGTGCTCATTGGAGGCAAGGATGATGAGGTTTTGCCTCATGTACTTTGGGCATGTTGCTGGCATTGGCTATTTCTTGGAGAGGGACATGATGCTGGGAAGGGTGGAGGGTTGGAAAAGGAGAGGAAGACCCTCAACCAGGTGGACTGACATGGTGACAGCTGCAATGAGCTCTAGTGTGTCAGGAAGTGTGAAGATGGCATATGATAAGACAGGGTTCAAATGTGTTGTTCATCGGGTTGTTATGAGTTGTGCTCAATTCAACAACACCTAACAACAATCCCCTGACAAGAGATCATCAGACAGTCTTTCTTGGTGAAAGTGAAATCAGAGTGAGAATGGTAAAACTCTGTCTCACATTCTTGGAGCATGTTGTTTGGAGGGAACAGTCTTTGGAGAAGGACATCATGCTTAGAAAGGTGGAGGGTCAGTGTAATAGAAGAAGACACCCACGATGGATTGACATGGTGGTAATGGTGGACTCAAATGTCAGAGATGATGAGGATGGCATAGGACAGAACAGAGTTCAGCTCTGCTGTTCATGTTGTTGTTGTTGTTAAGTGTTGTCGAGTCGTAAACGACTCATAGTGACCCTATGAACAAAAGACCAGAACACTTGTATAACTTTCATGGTTTCTCCAAGTCCATAGGGTTTCCAGAGGCAAGCTATTTCAGAAGTGGATGCCACTCCTGCTTCCAAGCTTGTTCTAATCGGGGAGCTCCACCAAACACTGTCCACCATGAGCAACCATTATTGCATTTGACACATCAGTGTCACAGTGTTTAGCATCACAGCAACCATGAGTTATCCCTGTACAGCAAATGGACAGACCAGTGCTATACCGCCTGGAAGAATGTTTGACCAAAATAAATTCAAACCAGGCCTGAGAGCCGCAGATTAAAATCACCCATGGCTTAGTAGCATAACTTTCTATCCACTAGGCCAACAGAGCTCTCACCATAGGGTCGCAATTAATTACAGTCAATTAGATGGCACATAACAACAACAATCCTCCGGCTCCTGAAATGAGGTCTGAGTATTTTCAAGTCATTATTGAGTAGCTGAGGGAGGGACTGACATGGAAAGATGAAGGGGGGCGCTTGACACTCTGGCCCCCTTGCATTGTCCTCACCATCTTTGCCAAAGCACAAGCCACTGATGCCCTCAGTGTGTCCTGAGCTGCTCTTTGAAAACATCTGTTCAGTTCTCTTACCTGTTAAGCATTTCTTCTCTTTCTTTTGGCTTCCCTACATTCTAGTTCTCTTTGGAGACCAGGACGGCGAGGCTTTGCCTCACATACTTCAGGAATGTTGCTAAGAGGGTCTATTCCTTAAAGAGGGACGTGATGCTCAGAAAGGTAGAATGTTGACAAAGGAGAGGAAGACCCCTGACCAGGTGGATTGACACGGTGACTGCCACAATGGGCGCTAATGTGTCAAGAAATATGAAGATGGCACAGGATAGGACAGGGTTCAGATCTGTTGTTCATAGGATTGCTATGAGTCGAGCTCAACTCAACAGCACCTAACAACAATAATATGTTCTAGTGAAAGTTTCAGTCTCTCTTGATGTCCATTTTGGGCTTTTTATTCTCCTCTGTCTTCGTAATGACTTTTCTTCAATGGCTGATGTTTTCAATGCCATCACACAACTCATCTGGTGACGAATCCTTAGTGCTCAATGTATCAAACGTAGTTTTGAAATGTTTTTTAAATTCAAGTGACATAAACTCAAGGTCATATTTCAATGCTAATGGACTTGTTTCCATTTCTTTTCAGTTTTTTGGTTTTTCTTAAAATCAAGGGTTTTTGTTTTTGTTTTTAAAGGAAACAGCTTTTTATTTTTATTTTATTTTATTATTTTGTGTGTGTGTTGTGTGTACCGTTAAATCACATCTGACTGGTACAGGAGGAGATAGTTCCTCCTTCTCCAGCAGTGCATCTGGTGGATTTGAACCGTGCACCTCTGGGATTGCAGTACACCTTCTTGCCACTAGGCCACCAGAACTCGGCCATTTCTTTTCAGTTTTAATTTCGACTTGCGTATGATTAATAGGTGGCTAGGAAGCTTTGCTCTGACTGCTGTTATTTCTCCACAGATGTAGCTGAGCTGACTCCCGTGTAGTCTGTCAGTTGAGATCCATATATATAGTTACCATTGTAGTGGTGACATTTTGGCAGTTTGGGAAAATATTTGCAAGAACTAAGTCAATTTTTTTGAACAAAATACTATCATGCAATTTCCAGCCTTGTTTCTATCACTAGGCCATATTTTTCACCTACCAGGCCCTTCTTTGTTTCCAACTTGGCTATTCCAGTCACCAATTATTATTAATGTATCTTGAGTGCATGTAATACATTTCAAACTGCAAAAGCTGACAGACACCCTCAGTTTCTTCACCTCTGACTCTAGTGACTGGTGTGTGTATTTGAGTAGAAGTGTGTTAACTGGTCTTCCACGCGTGTGTCTGGACAGCAGCCTATCACTCACTGGATGGAGCTTCGGGAAGGATGGGCTCTTGTTGACGATGACTGCAGCACTATCCGCCCTCAATTTGTCATTCCTATCTAAGTAAAGCTTGTGACTGTCCTATTCAAAATGGCCAGCACTAGTCCATCTCGTCTCACTCATAATGCCTAGGGTGTCGATTGCTCCACATCCCATTTCGTTTCTTGTTGTTGTTATGTGTATGTGCCGTTGAGTCGCTTGCGACTCATAGCGACCCTATGTACAACAGCCCTAAACTCCGTTCTGTCCTGTGCCAATCGCACTGTCTCTGACACTCCCATCCTGATTATCCCAGTCACTGAATCAATCCACCTCATAGAGGGCCTTCCCCTCCTGCGCCGTCCCTCCACCCTCCCAAGCATGATGTCCCTCTCCAAGGACCTGTCTCTCCTCACAACATGTCCAAAGTATGTTAGACGGAGCCTCAGAATCCTTGCCTCCAAGGAGCCACCCAGTTTAACCCTTTCCAGGACAAATCTGTTTGTTTTCCTAGTAGTCCATGGTATTCTCAATACGCTTCTCCAGCACCACAGCTCAAAGGCATCAATTCTCCTTCTATCCTCCTCGGTCATTGTCCAACTCTCTGATGCATAACAAGTGATTGTGAAGACCATGGCCTGTATCAGATGCACCTTAGTCTCCAGAGAGACACCTTTGCTCTTCAGTACTTTGGAGAGGTCCCTAACAGCAGACTTTCCCATGGCAATGCACCTTTTAATTTCCTGGCTGCTGGTGCCAAGACTGTTGACTGTGGAGCCAAGCAAGCTAAAGCTGTGTACAATCTCAATCTCTTCACCATCCATCCTGATGCTGCCAATTGGTCCAGTGGTGAGAATATTTGTCTTCTTGACATTGAGCCTCAATCCATATCGTAGGCCTTGACACTCTGCAGCAGGCGCTTCAGGTCTTCTTCAGTTTCAGCAAGCAGGGTTTCTTACAGCTTCCAGTTTTGCAGTTTCCTACCTCACATACTCCACATTCCAATCACTGAAGGGTCGTCTGTGGCTGTTCCTCTCCATTTTGAGTCTTGCCACCTCAGTAAAGGAAGGCCCTTCGTTGGGTCACAGCTTCATTCCCTCCACGTCACTATGGTAAACTCTACTTGGTCGACGCAGTTCCCCTCCAGGTACGTTTTGAGGACCTTCCCACCCGAGGGGCTCATCTTACGGGACTGTGCCCAACAGTGATCATTCGCCATTCGCAGGGCTCCCAAAGGCCTGCTGTTTCAGAAGTGCATGGACCGTCCTGCTCTTCTGGCCGGAAACTCCTCTGAAACCTGTCTACCATGGCGACCCTGCTGCTGTTGGAAATACTGGTGGCACAGCTGCCAGCATCACAGCCACACACAATCCACACATTTCAGCAAACTGACATTCAAGTGGCCTGGTCTATATAAAACCAGAACACTCCAAGAATGAAGACAAGGAGGAGACGTGGCTAAATGGTAGTATACGATGAAAATGCATATTTGGCTTGGGGATGAGATTAAGAGAAAAATTATCTTGTATTCCTGTCATTTTAATATTGCTGGTTGTTGTTGTTCATGATGTTATATGCCACTGAGTTGGAACTGGCAGATAGGGCACCACCCAGTGGGTTTTCAGAGCTTCTTTCTCCCACAGAGCTGCTACAGTGAGATGGTAGGAAGCAGAGATAGTCTTAGAAAAAGAAAATATTCCCTAGTAGGAAGCGGCAGGAACAGAAAGGTTGGGGAAAGGATAAGAATCTCCCTTGGAATGCTGTCCTGGATGTCGAGTCTTTATCAGAGCTGCCAGCAGGGGGCAGAATTGCTGAAAGAAGTTTGTAGAGGTCAGTGTAGAGCCCGAGTAACTAGGAGCAGAGAATGGACAGGACATTTCTTGAGCATCAACTCGGTGCTTGCCGTAGGCTTCTCACACTAAGTATGTCACTTAATGATGACAGCAATCTCATTTCACAGATGAAAAGACTGAGGTTTGGCCTACAAAATCATTTTTTTTCACTCAGTGGATAGAAATTCTATCGATTGTGTTCACTTTTGCATCTCCAATATTTCCACAGCATCTATCACATAGCAACGTGGCATAAATGCTTTTGTTAACTGAGTGCCTACTATGTGTGGCTGGCCTGGAAACTCGTGAGCAGCAGCTGTCAGTTGGCCTTTGGCCCCTATTAGCTAACAAGGACCCAAGGGCGAAGGCCTGCTCAAGCGTGTGTCTTTAAAACTCTCAAAATTTATTGGTTTTAGAAAAACTATTCTTTAAGTGTTACAGCAGTTGCTTTGTCTATTTGCTGTAGTTGGAGTAAACTTGAAGGTGCTGTGACGCTGAACACTGTGCCACAGTCGTGTCAAATACCGTAACGGCTACCCAGCAATGGACAGTGTTTGGAGAAGCTTCCAGATTGATTCAGGTTTAGAAGAAGAAGTGGCATCCCCTTCCTAAAACGGATGCTTCTAGAAACTCTATAAATTTTATAATCACACAGAAGTGATGCTAATTAGAGAATAGAGTTCTGGTCTTTTGTTCATAGGGTCACTATGAGTCGTATTCGACTTGATGACACTTAACCACTGCTAAGGGAGACTAGTGTTGTTATACTTGGAGGAACATTCTTCTACTTTGTACATCCCTCTTCGTCAATTTGCTGTACTGAGGTAACCCAGGTTTGCTGTGATGCTGAACCTTGTGCCACTGGGGTATCAAATGCCATAATGGTCTCTCAATGTGGACAGCGTTTGGTGGAGCTCCCAGATGCAAAACAGGTTTGGAAGCAGGAGTGGCATCCACTTCCTAATCCACGTGCCTATGGAAACTCTATGAACTTGGAGAAATGATGACAATTATGGAAAGGCATTAGGTCTTTTGTTCATAGAGTTGCAGTGAGTCGTACTCGACTCAAAGACGATCAACAATAACAACTATGTGCCAGATACCGTGATAAGCACTGGCTAGTGATGCACCCCAAATCGTGTGGCTCATAAGCGGCAGAGCCAGAACTTGAACTTAAGTCTGACTTCAGAATCAGTGCTCCTTCCCTTAGAGTCTCTGCTTGTGGCGCTGAGGCCTCATGGTGCCTCCGCCCCAGAGGTGTGGGCAGGACGCAGGGCAGGACCTGAGCATGAGTCACCAGCACGGTGAAGCTCTGCCCCAGGCACCCAGCAGGGGCACCCGGGTTACACGCCTGGGGCTGGTGCCAGAGCCCTGAGACTGCCAGCTTCAGCACTTGCGGCTGTGTGACCCCCACCCAGGTCCTGCGGACTCCTCTGTGCCACAACGAGATAGCAGGCCAGGGTCTAGGGTGTGAGCTAGTCTCCTGCACAAACACAACCCATGTGAGTGTGACTTCCAGCCAGGAGGTACAGGCCTCCGCTGGGATCCTGCACTGCACATTCCACCCCTCAGCTGTCAGCAGGCAGGGCGGGGACCACTCAGTGGCATTCAGCAGACACTGCCACCTGCCTAAGCTTTAAGCCCCGGGCACCTTGTGTCCTGTCCAGGGTGGGACCCATCCAGTTACTTCTATTACCCTGGTATCCTGAACAATGACACAGTTACCTACAAACACTCTCCCTGGACATTTCCAAGCACCACTGAACATAGTCTCCATCTGATCCCCTCATTGGACAGGTGAGCAGGTCCACCCCTCTGCTCCCATGCCAGATTGCACAGCTCTTGCTCAACTCTCCTAATTTCTAAGGAGAACCCAGAAATCAGGCCTCCTGCTAAAATGAATATCTTTTGGATCCACGACTAACTAAGTTTGTCAGGCCAAAATAGTACAGGCCACTGAAAATTCTTTGCTGCTGAGTCAAATCTGACACTTTGCTCCCACCTGTGCAGGGGAGAACTGCTCTATAGCATTTTCTAGGTTGCAATCTTTATATAAGAGATTGTCAGGCCTTTCTTCTGAGGCACCATGGGGTAGATTTGAACTGCCAACCTTAAGCTTAGAACTCTAGCGCAAGTCAGTTATGCCACCTGTGGTTCACTAGTTTGGCCTCAGGCTTCATGGCCTTTGGAGTCTAGGGTTCGGGGACTCTGAGTCTTTGATCCTGAAATTCTATGGATAATGGAGAAGAAGGTGCTCAAATAGAGGGGGAGTAGTTTGGGGTGGCCCCCCTCCCACCTCAGGCTCTCACCTGGGGAAGCTGCTGCCAATGAGGATCCGGCCCAGGGGGTACTCCTTGCCCCCCACAGTGACAGGAGGGCTGACTTCCAGGTTGCCAAAAGAGTCGAGGCTCGAGATCCTGCCAGACGAGATCTCCCGGGTCACAAAGCCAAAGTCAGGGCCCTAGGGGAGGACCAGCAAGAGCCCCCGAAAAGGAGGGGTCAGCACAGGAAAGAAAGCTCTGAAAACCCCTCTCCCAGAACCACTAAACTCTCCATGCCTGAAGGTTAACCTGCACCTATTTATTAGCAATCTCCTGTTCTCAGACCACCTGCAACCCAAGCAAAAGTTGGCAACAGAAAGAAAGCAGGAAGGGCCCAAATGTTTGGAGATCGTGGAGTCCAGGGTCAAAGAAGAAATCCAGGTGGGAATCAGAGAATATGAGGAAGTGCAAAGCAATGAAAACAACAAGCGATAAAGAGGGGCTGACGGAACAGCCTTGCCGGGCCATCACTGGTGTGCTGCTAACACTGGGCATGTTATGAGTGCCCCTCATAGTGACCTCAGGCAACAGGGTGGATCCGCCCCGTAGGGTTTTCTACATTGGAATTTTTATGGAAGCAGATTGCCAAGTCTTTTTCCTCCAGAAATGATTGGATCTGAATCACCAACTTTCTGGTCAGCAGGTTACAGCTTAACTCTAGGCACCATTGGGGCTCTTCTAAAAACATGTATGTTAGAAAGAATAGGGAGTAAAAAGAGTTGAAATATCTTTGCTTCCACGTCAAGTTAGAAACAGAACAGCCAGTTAAACCCAAGGAATTTAGAAGGAAGGAAATAATGAAGATAAGAACAAGTCAGTGAGAAATGCCCCTGGCTCCACCAGGTCAAGACGGGCCTGGGATCAAGCCCACTGCCCACCAAAGCCCCCACACCACTCGGCCCCAATTAGTCCAGACTCACCCTGCAAAGATCACTGTCACCTCTTCCGGGACACATCCCTGGTCCTGCTGGGTTGTATGTCCCTGCGTGTGCCCACAAGCTTCCCCGTCATACTCACTATCCCACTGCATCGCCCCAGTACTGGGGGAGTAGGACAGGTACACAGACGGGCTGTGAGTGAGCTCTGTGGCAGTGGCCATGACCATGAGCTCCAGACCTGGGCTTTAGTGCATTTCTGTACCACCATTGACTAGATGTTTGTACATTTGCATGTTCTTTGCATATCATTTGCATCCCATGCCCATACCACCCCGCAGGCTCTCCAGTTTGCTGACAGTTTGTGTCCTTTCTCCTCACACCCTGGTCTCCAGGGCCCAAAATATCAAGCTCAGGAGGTAAGACTGGGAGTTCTGAGTACTGCAAATGGATAACCAAAAAGTTGGAGGTTCGAATCCACCCAAAGGGCCCTGGGAAGAAAGTTTTGGGATCTATTTGTGGAAAATCAGTCACAAAAAGGCTGCACAGTTTGGTGGGTAAAGGGAGAGGTGGGGGCAGCAAATGGGAAGGACCTGGGCAAAAAGACAGGGTAGTGATGGCCAAGGTCCAGTGGTGTCTGATTTTATATAATAACATAATGTGCGAGAATGAGTGTATGAAACACAATGTGAATGAAGAATAGTGTGAAACACAATGTATATAAACTTTGTAACCAAACCAGTTTTAACAAATGAATGACTGTATAGAACACAATGTATACGAATGAAAATAATGTAAAGGAATTATTATATGGAAACCAAGAAAGATATCTTTAAAAATTACTGTGTTGTACCATCCTACTCTGGAGCCCATGGGGTCACCATGAATCAGAATCCCTTCCATGGGGTTGGACAAGCCTGACTGACAGGTGACCCACAGGAGGGTCCTCTCAGCGTTCCCCGGTCTGTCCTCTGCCACATACCAGAATCTTCTTATAGGCGAAATCCTTCAGACCTCTGTTTCGGGGAGAATCAAAGACCACGGGAAACGCTTTATGCGGGGCCTCGATGTAACCAAACTCTATCTCGTCCTGTAAGGAAAGGAGGTATGTCCACAGTGACCTTGTCAGATACAACATGGGAATCTGCCAGGCTTGGGGCTGGGGGCCAGGGCCTGGGTGGTGGGGGTAGTGGGGGTGGAGAGAGGTGGAGATGAGGAACCCTGGCCAGGAGAGGATGCATTCTGGAAGCTGAGAAGCTGTCCCCAGGCTACTTGCCCTGAGCCCCAAGACCCAGACTTATCTAGCCTTTCCCCTCAGGCCTTAATTCAGGGCCAGGCTCTGCTTGTGCTCACACCTGGATCCAGCGGTCATTCCGGTTGTCCACCTGAGGGCAGATGACCATCTCGCTGTTGGCTTTCAATGCCAGATTGGCTACATCCTCCAAGAATGCCTTATTGGAGCCATGCAGGTCTTCCACCCTGTGGAGAGGACAGGAAATGCAACCGTGACCTCTGGAAGTGGCCTTGGCCTTCAAGTCTGAAGGCAGAAGTGATGGGGAAGTGATGGCAGAAGTGAGGCTCTGTGTGGCCCCAAGACATCAGGGCTCAGACACAGTGCCTGCCCTAGAATGACCCACGGACAAATAGAAGAGACAAATACTGTCCCCAGATCACACCAGGCTGTATAACATCAAGAGTAAGCCGCACGCGGGGGTGCCCAGCTGCTGGGTAGTCAGGGAAGGAACCCTCAAGGAGGTGACCTAGGGACTGAATCTCTCCAGGTGAGGTTGTGGAATTGGGGCGGGCAGGCCCATCTACCTCTGTGTCACCCAATCAGCCTAAGCAGAAGGGTGGATTGGTGAACAAATGAAAGGAATGGATCACTATGGATCATGCATGCATGTAAGCAGAGCAAACCTGTCTGACCAACCCTTCTCAGCCTTCTCTCTTGTGTCCAGCTCCACTGTGGCCCTTCCCCTGGCTCTGACACACAGGCCTGGAATGGCTTTGCAAGCCAGGTCCAGCCCTTCCTCACCAGCGCAGGGTTCACAGCAGATCCGGCAAGCAGGTCCCCAGCTCTTCAGTGAGTACAGGAGCATATCCATTTCAGAGCGGGGGCTCCAGCAAGCAGGTGCCTAGCTCTTCAGGGACTGATCCACTTCAGAGCAAGGGCTCAGCCATGACCATAGCCACCAGAGCCACCAGACCTTGGCCCCATTGCCCAGACTAAATCCAAGATCACCAGAGTTGCTGGAGAAGGCACAGCACAAAACCAGAGATGCTGGTGCTGGGACCAGTGAATTGGACCTTGACCGTAGCTGCTCAGGATGAGGAAGGGGTTGCTGACTGCCTGAGCCAGCCTGCCCATGTCCTGTACTCAGCTTTGCACCCAGGGTGCTTGCAATTGGATCCATCTAGTCTCAGTGTGAAACCAACCCCAAATGCAACATTCACCTTCATATCTCTGCAACTGAAGGGCAAGGCCGACCTCAGCAGGTTTTAGGGGCTCACCTGCATACATACACCTCCAAGGGGGCCTGAGTGTTGGGGGTCATGATCCAGGGGGCTACACGGAAGGTCACAGTGTCTGTGAAGAGGGGCGCCTCTGGCAGGGTCTGAGGGGAGAAGGAGGAACCTGTGGGCCCTGAAAGTCCTCAGAGACCCTCAGCCCCACCCCGAGCCCCGACGCTGTACACACCCCCGTGTCCACCAGGCTGACGCTGAAGGAGACCAGCCCCAAGAAATCTGCGTCTGGGAAGGCAAGCCCCTCCACGTAGAAGCTGATTGCCCGCTCCCCCGGCTGCCGCTCAACCTCGTACGACAGGTGTTGAGGTCCAAGCACCTGCTTGTAGTTCGAGAAAGAATTCCCACCTAGGAGAATCAGAGTCAGGGGGGCGCTGGGACAGGAGGGTCAGGGAGCTGAGGACAGATTCACCTTTATGCTGAAGTCTGCTGTGTTGCGTGTGAGCTGTGTGACCTTGGCCCAGCGTTCAACCTCTCTGAGCCTTAGTTCCTCATGTGTAAAATGGGCCAATGTTACCTCTCTCCTGGGGTTAGGGTACACTTTAAAGGAATCAGGGTACGGCGCCAGGCAGGTGGTTCCACCTCTGCCTTCTCCCCCTGCGGGTTGTCTGGGAAATGTCATCTTGTTAAGCTCTCATTCGTGACAGGAAGTTGTCAGTTCACTTTTTGAAACTTTGCTTATGCTGCTGGCGTCACACCAAGTGTTTTCAAGTCGGGGCCCCTGTCTCAGTGGCCCCCCATTGGTGGCCATGAAAGAACATTCCAGGGCCTGCCAGGCTCGTGTACTGGAACAACGAGTTCTGGGTTGACGTGAACAGAGGAGGATGACAGGGGAGACAGAAGGGGTGGGAGAGGCTCCTTTCTATTAATAAAAATGAGTAAAAGCACTGAAAGGTTAGGGACTGGTGGGTGTTTTATTCTTTTCAGTCATAGGCGTTGATGGATAAAAATCCTGTTTTAGTTAGCTGGGCTTTAGGGCTTGGGGGTGCTGAGCTGCAGCCTGGCTGCTTCTCACCCCAGTCCACCTTGCATGGTCGGTGTTCAGCACACATGAGAGCCAGCCCATGCGGAATGACCCGGGGCGGGGGTGCTGAGGGACAGGGTCAAGGCAGTGGACAGAGGGGGATTTGGGTGCTCAAGAGTCCACAGTTCAAAAGCTTACTCCACCCCAGATAGATTGTGGCCTCGAGACAGTGAATTCGCCTCACTTTGCCCCTCTGTAACATGAAAATGGTGGTTGAAACGCTCACATATAATGTAGTGGATCGACAGTGACTGCAACAAGGAGGTTCACTAAGCCCAGCAGTGGTGGAGAGGCGGGCGCAGAGCGTGCAGGGCCTTGTGCCGAAGTCCACAGGGTCACTCTGAGTCAGACCTGACTCGATGGTACCCAACAATAACGTTGTGTACCGTGTCTCCGGGCTTTTCTGCTCTCTTGCTAATGTAAAAGGTGCTGCAATGGGTTAGCACTTGGTCACTAACTGAAAGGTGAGTGATTTGAAGCCTCCAGCTGCTCTGCTGGTGAGCTGTTCCCACAGGAAACTCTAGGGGGCAGTCCTCTTCCGTCCAGTAGGGTCTTGGTGAGCCAGACTGCACATAACTACTTACTACCAACCTCAAGGTTAGTGGTTTGAATCCCCATAGTGCCATGGAGGAAAGGCCTGGTGATCTGCCTCCATAAAGAGTACAGTTCTAGTAACATACGGGGTTGTTGTGAGTCAGGATCAACTCACAGCGTGGGATTTGGTGGGAGTTTTCCATGTTGTGTCCTATCGGAGTGGACTGTGGGTTAGCTGGAGTTAAGGGTGGTACAACAAAGGGACAATTAGAGGAAGGAAGATGGGGGGAAAGGGTTTGGAAGCAGAGAATGGTGCAGGGAGAGAAGAGGTTCCGGCAGGCCACTCACCCCGAGCACAGAAGACTCCCGCGCGTTTGGAATCAGAATAGGGCACGCTCAAGACCAGCTTGTGGTTGTCAAAGAGCTTGTCCGGACCATCACAGGTCAGCACCATTGGAGACATGTCCTGCAGGTCTGGGGAGAGTGACCCCTTCAGACAACACCCACACCCGCTCACAGGCTCCCCTCTCACACTTGTCCTCCTCCAGAACAACTCCCCTGACACTCACCGGCCAGCGATGAGAGTGTACTGTTTCGATGGTCAGGCTCCCCGGAGCTGTAAAGGTCTCGATCACAGTTCACCAGAAGGATCGCCCCATAGCCCTCAGGACCCCAGTGCCAGGATTTCTGTGGCCAAACAGGAAGCCTCAGTCAGGGTCGGGGGCACCCTGGAAGGGGCTCTGGGCATGGCCAGAGACTGGCTGCTTTATTAGCTTAAAGAGAGCAGTGATTGTGGACAGCCTAAATGCTGGGTCTCGAGCGCCAGAGTCACTGTATCTTTTGCAGTGAACAGCCTGCCCAACTAAACCCGGAAGGCTTGTCCGCCCTTCACATGTTGCCCCTTCAGCCTGCTGAACTTGGATTTGACTGGGGAACAGAGGCTTCATCACCTTGACCTTGATAGGAGTGAGAGTTGAAGAATTCCTGGGAGACCTGCCACATGTTCAGCACTTTAAAAAAAATTTATTTATTTTTCATTTCAATGAACATCTACAGAGATTTTGGAATTCCATTCATTGTTGCACCCTTCTCCCCACCCACCCCAATGTTCAGCACTTTTATGGGACCTGTCCCACAGAGGTCCCTAAAAGGTCAGGTTCATGTCCACCTGTGGCTCTGCAGACAAGGGTCCAAGCTGAGGCAAGGAGATGGCTGGAACTACCTCTGTGTACCAGTACTTTCCCTGGTGTACTTCCAGACCCTATAAAGCAGGGCTCAATTCCCCACCTTGCAGAAGAGAGAAGAGAGAGGCTCTGAAGGTGAGCTCCCATCTTTTTTTTTTTTAAAAAAAATTCTTTCATATTGGTTTGCTTACAAAGTTTATATACATTGTGTTTCACACTATTCTTCATTCACATTGTGTTTCATACAATCATTCCCATGCATTATATTTTATAAAATTAATCATCATTGAACTGTGCCCGTGATTATCCTGTCTTTTTAGGTCCCTGCTGGATCTTTCCAATTTCCTTTACCCCTTCCCTCCACCCATCAAATTGTGCAACCCTATGGTTTCACCCCTACTCATCCTCACCGCTCTGCTTCCGCCCCATCCTCTCTTGGGTCCCCATACATGTTTTACTAGCTATCCCTGGATTTTTACAATACCGTCTTACGCATTATGCATATGGTTCACTCGACAGAACGCTCTCCAGTCTGGTGCAACTACTCTGGAAAGCAGTTTGACGTTTCCTCAAAAAGTTGAAAATACAAACTCCATATGACCCTGCTATTCCACTACTAGGAATATACCCCAGGGAAATTAGAACAGAGACACAAATGGAGATTTGTACATCAATATTTATAGCATCATTATTCACTATCACAAGAATATACAAACAGCCCAAAATGTTCAACCACAACTGAATGGATTGAGAAAGTGTGGTACATTCACACAACAGAATACAATGAAGCACTCAGAACAATGATTTTTGAAAACAACTACAAGACTTGGGAGAGACTTGTTGTTGTTATGTGTCATTGAGTTGCTTGCCACTCATAGCGACCCTATGTACAAGAGCACTAAACGCTGTTCTATCCTGTGCCAACCTCGCCATCTCCAATACACTCATTCCCACCACCCCAATCACAGAATCGATCCATCTCATCGAGGGTCTTCCTCTCCTGCACTGTCCCTCCACTCTCCCTAACATGATGTCCCTCTCCAAGGACCAGTCCCTCCTTGCAACAAGCCCAAAGTATGTCAGACGAAGCTTCAGAATCCTTGACTCCAAGAAGCATTCTGGCACCTGTTTGTTCTCCTAGCAATTCAAAACTCTTCTCCAGCACCACAGCTCAAAGGCATCAATTCTCTTTCTATCATCCCTAGTCACTGTCCAGCTCTCCGATGCATAGCACCTAATTGCGAAGACTATAGCCCTAATCAGGTGTACTTTAGTCTCCAGCCTGTCGTTGCTCTTCAGTACTCTTGAGAGGTCCCTCATAGCTGACTTCCCCAACGCAATTCGTCTCTTGATTTCCTGGCTGCTGGTACCAAGAATGTTGACTGTGGACTAGAGCACCCATTTTTTTAAAGCTGTGGTTCAAACCAAGGTGGATAGGGCAGCACAGGGCTACTGCTGCCTTGTGCAGTGAGCAACTTGCACAACCACGCACGGTGACCTTGCTTCTTCACTTTGTCCACAAGGTCTCACAACCCACACTGACCAAAATGGGCAGTGATCCCAGAAATGGGATCTTTCCTTACAAACTGTACCTTGTATTCCTGCTGGGATAGCTTCCAGATACTGCCCAGAGGGTAATGCCACAAGCCCACCCATCTTCCTGCTTTCCCTTCAGGGTCTGACTGAAGCCGACCTCTATGGAATTCTCTCCCAGAAACCCAGTCATCCTTCAGCCAGAAACAGCCTTGGCTTCTCCTTGTCCACACACATTTATGCAGTAACCATTTCCGCCAAGTCATCCAATAACCATTTACAAAGAACCAGCTATGTTTAGAGGTCCAAACGCGGGTCAGGAATGGCAGCAAGCCAAAGAACCAATCCCGACTATGACACAAGGGAGACCAGAGAGTATAAGCTACTTTCCAGAAGTCACACAGCAAACCAGTCACATAGCGTGAGCTAAGGCCCACTTGTGACAATTTAGCAGTGCTGCAAGGATGGTGAAATGTCACTTCACATACTATGAGCATGTTGCCAGGAGGTGCTAGTTACTGGAAAAAGACATCATGCTGGGAAAAGCAGAGAGGAAGTCAAGGAGAGAAAGACCGACTTGAGTATGGTGGAGATTGTGCAGGATTGAGTAAGTTTTCCATCTGCTGTAGCCAACTCAGTGGCACCTAACAGATCACTACTAGTAAAACTCCTCATGGCCTAGTGCTTAACATGGGGACAAAAATTCAGTGATTTGAATCCACCAGCTGCTTCGTGGGAGAAAGAAGGGGAGTGTCCTCCTATAAAGACCCACAGCTTGGAGGTTCAGTGCAAGGATGCCAAGTGTGAATTGACTTGGTGGCAGTAGGTTGTAAGGGGCTTAAGCCACTATTAGGGAGTGTTGGTGGCTTATGGGTAAGAAATTGCACTGCCAAGCAAAGGTACGCAGTTCGAATCCACAAGCTACTCTTTGGGAGAAAGAGGACCATCTCCCCCCAGACGATTTACTGCCTCTGAAGACCCGCTGGACGGTTAGCTACGGGTCGGTTCCAACCTGCTGGTGCCTAACAACAACAAGCAGCAACAACAACAAGATCGACCCCATCCCAGCACCCTCCCAGGGTTAGCTTGTCACCTGTGCAGTCCTGAGGCACCCATGACATCTTACCTTGTCTCCTCGGCTCCTCTTCACCTTGCCCGTGCGCTCCCTGTCCACATCGAGGGAGACGTCTGAAAGGGAACACAGTGGGGCTACCAGGGGCTCCTGCAGCCCTGTCTTCACCACCAGATGGTCCAAACCAGAGCAAGCTTCCCGCCTTTTCAGCTCATCAGAGCTAGGAAACCCTGCTCTGGGTACCATACTCAGAGCTAGGACCCTGGTGGCAGCCCCCTGAGGCTCTGGGTGTGGAGGACCTCTGTAGCTCTGGATGAAACGGGACCAAAGTCTTGGACTACCTGTGCAGGTTGAATTACCAGCTTTTGATGGTTATTGAGGCGGCCTTGAGGTTTCTAAGTCATGCGTTGGGGGTCCTGGACTCTCATAATTTGTGAGTAGGCCCTAAACTTCTTGCATGTGCACTAGTGAAAGCTGGCTACGTTGAGGTTTGACTTGGTGTCGTTATTGTATACTGTTGAGTCAGAACCACACACACAGCCAATGAGGAGGGACAAAGTCAGAGGTGGAACTTACCAACGCCAGTGAGGTAGAGCACCCCCTGGCCCAGGGCACTATCTTCCTGATGTTCATAGTAGGAGACTTTCACCTGTGGGGAGATAGTCAACATGTCACCTTCAAATATGGTGGCAGAGGTGAAGGACAGACCCTAGCAGCTCTTCTTAAAGGCAGGTAGGCATCAGGACTCCTGAGTCCTCTCTGCTTTGAAGTCCCAAGATTCAAGGCTCCCAGTTTGGAGTCTGAGCTCTCTACTCCAGCTGGAGAAACTGTGAACATCTCCTGTTGCCAGAGCTGACCTGAGGAGCAAGGGGGCAGGGGCAAGGGGGGGGGGGGCTGGCCCCAGGCAGAGCAACTGGACATTCGGGGTATGTCAGAGAGAAAACCAGGAGCAGCTGTCACTTCTCTAGGTCTCTCTTTGCTCATCTGTAAAATGGGAACGGTCTCAATCCTCATGGTAACAAGCCGATGGTAACTGAACTTTGATGATAAATCATAACGCAGGCTTAGTGCTCTCACCAGGGACACACAGCACCCCTCAGGGAGGTCCCACTGGACAGAACACAGTCACAAGGAGGCTGCTAGGGCCTCGCGGCCACATGGTTTGTTAACAGGCCGTGTGATCTGCCCTCTCCTTAGCTCAGCCCTGCTGCTGAAGAAAGGTTCTGGTCACTGAGTGTGCGAGGGGGTTAGTCCAAGACAGACTATCATTTGTGCTTAAAACTGTCTGTAAAAAAGGTTTGCTTAGCTGTGGGACACGCATGTGCACGTCCGGACACGTCTGTGCATCTGTGCGTGTGATGACCAGGGTATCGATATGGAGTCCCGCCCGGGTGGGAGGGGGCTTGTATGGAGGGGCTGTGTGTCAGCTGAGCATGCGCAGTCTCGTCTTCCTTGCACGCAGCCACCACTCCTGTCAGCAGGGGCCTGTGTGCTGCGCCGAACACCAAGAACTACTGGGAAGAAAGGCCTGGTGATCTACTTAAAAAAATCAGCCACAGAAGACCGTATGGATCACAGTGACCCACGTTGCAACAGATCACGGGGTGGTGCAGGTCCAGGGAGTGCTTTAGTCCAGTGTGGGGGGTTACGATAAGCCAGCGGGGTCTCCATGGCAGAGAACAACTTCCCTGTCTGTAAGCGTGCGTGCGACACGGTGGCTCTGGGTTGGTTTGTGTTTGGGTGCCTGTGAGGTTGTGTTAGGATGTGTCATGTGATGTGAGTGGGAAAAGCTTTGTGGGGACCACGTGTGCATAGTACGCGTGTGGAGGTGCTTGAGAAGGAGTAGGAGGAGGGGTGCAGCCTCTTACCTTGTAGTCATTTAGGATCCTACTGGCTTCCTTCACGTACACGACCACATCCACATCAGCGTCCAGGGGCCAGTGGGACTTGCCCTGGGGCTCCGTCACATGCGCAGAGTCAAAGGTCACGTAGAGATCCACTCCAGAGCTCCCAGTGACCTCAAAGAACTTGGCGCCCCTGGGTACATCACTGCAGGGAGGACAACAGGAGGGGGCAGGGGCTCAGGAGAGGGGCTGGGGACGGGGCTCGGGGCTCGGGTGGCAGGCTGTTCACACAGCACTCCGGCTGTGTTAGTGTGCAGACTGAAGGACCCTGGCTAGGTTCCTCACTGATTTGCCACATGAGCCACACTGGGCACATCACTTCCCTCAAGCCTCAGTCTCCCAATCTGTAGTCTAATGGGTTAGACCAGATCAGTGATTGTTAAGCTTAAGTATGGGGCTCCTTGATCAAAGGAAACCCCCTAAGGGACCCAGAACATAAGATAGAAGAAAGAGCAGCTGCCGTGTTAAAGCTGGTAAGAAAGAGGGGTGAGCCAGAGGCCCTGTGATTTAACCTCTTCACTCTCACAGTCACCTCTCTGGATCCCAGGTTTCTAGAGATCAGAGATGGCAAATCTCTGGACTGGGATGCACAAACTCCCAAGTCTGTTCCTGCCCTGACACTTCCACACTTTCCAACAACAGGAAGGACAATTGGCCACCACCTCCCATCATGCCCATCACTGGTCTCCCAGTCTGTGCCCCTCCTTTGTGTTCCACACACAGCACAAACAAGCCACATTCCAGCTAAAGCAACCGGCCCCTGAGGGGGGGCACCCTGTCCTTCACCATTCCCCCTAAATGAACATGACCTGTGCACTGGACTAGGTTCCGAGCTCCCATGGGGAACACGAGGCAGTAGATCCAGTGGTGCTCATAGTTGGAGGGGAAGCTGAGCGAGGGAACGACCTGCTGGTGCTTCCCCCTCTCTTCCATGTTGGGTTCTCTTCCACCATCTGCTACAGTACAGCCCTCAGCCTCAAGGTCACCACCCATAGTCAAGTATACTCACAGGTCAGACCTGTGAGAGGCTGAGGCTTGGAGGAAGTTTGTCTACATAGCCTCCTTCAGTCATTCTTTCCTTGACCCTTGAGAATCGTCCAGACAATAAACCTTCCAGAGAAGCGAGACAGAACCCTGGTGGCACTATGTTCAGAGCATTTATCAGCTAAACAAAGGATCAGCAGTTTGAACCCATTGCTCACTCCACAGGAGAAATAGGAGGCCCTCATCTGCTTTGGCAAAGATTAAGACCAAAACTAAACTTGCTGCCAGCAGGTCAGTTCTGACTCATAATGACCTTCCATCAGGTAGTTAAGGCTGTAATTCTTCAGGGAGAAGACTGCCCATCTTTCTCCTGTGGAGCAGCTGGTGGATTCAAACCAACCTCTAGGTTAGCAGTTCAGTTCATTGTACAGCCTTGTAAATGTGATGGGTTTCTACTCTGTGCTATGAAGATTCTATGATTTGAAATTGTCTCAATGGCAGTGGACATATGTCACCCCATCAGGGAATTGAATCCTGGTGTCCTGTGTGACAGGCGGGGACACTCACCATTATACTAATGAGGACAAAAGGCAACTCGAGAAGACAAAGCAAAGTTTTATAATGGAACATGCAAAGAACTGGAGTAAGAGAAGAAAAAGGGAAGAATTTACTTGGCTTTTCTCAAGCAGAAAGAACAAAAAACAAACTCAAGCCTTGAGTTGCTATACTGAGAGATGTTATGGGCAAAATCTTAGAGATCCAGAAAGTATCAAAAGAAGATAGAAGGAATACACAGAGTCACTATACCAAAAAGGACTGACTGACATAGAAAAAATCAGGAAGTACCATATAAACAAGAGCCAGTGGTAATGAAGGAAGAAGGTGAAGCTCCACCGGCAAAAAAAATAAGGCACTAAGAGTTGATGGAATACCAATTGTCATGTCTCAACTAAGGAGTGTTGCCTTGGATGTGGCTACCAGTTTATGCCAGGAAATTTGGAGGCTAGCTGCTGGAAGAGATCCATATTCATTCCGATTTCCAAGAAAATGTGGAAATCATTGAAATATATCATAAATATCACATGCAAGCCAAATAATGCTGGAGATCATCCAAAAATGGCTACCACAGTAGATTGACAGAGAACTACCAGAAGTGCAAGCTGGATTTAGAAGAGGCTGTGGCACCAGTGTTATCATGGCTGCTGTTAGATGGACCCTAGCTGAAAGCAGAGAATACTAGAAAAAGGTCTGTGTTTTACTGACTATGCAAAAGCATTTGACTGTGTTCTAGTTAGATGTCATCGAGCTGAGTGTGGCTCATAGTAACCCTATGAACAGCAGATATAAACCCTTTCCTATTCCATGCCAAACTCACAATCTCTGACCTACTCAAGCCTATCACTGTAGTTACTTGACTGTGTGGATCATGACAAATTATGCTTAACATTGAGAAGAATGGGAATCCAAGAACACTTAATATGTTCTTATAAAACCTAGACCTAGACCACGAAGTTGTTGTTCAAATGGAGCAAGGGAACACTGCATGGTTTAAAATCAGGAAAGGACGTGCATTAGGGCCAAATTATTTCTCCATATCTATTCAGTCTGTATGTAGAGTAAATCATTTGAGAAGCTGGACTCTATGAAGAACAACATGGCATCAGGATTAGAGGAAGACTCATCAACAACCTGTGTTATACTGATGACACAACTTTGCTTACTGAAAGTAAGGAGGACTTGAAATGTAGAAGATCAAAGACTGCAGCCTTCAATATGGATTTGTATGTCAACATCAATAAGACAGAAATTCTCACCACTAGGTCCATAAGCAACTTCATGACAGATGGAAAAAAAAATTGAAATTGTTAACAATTTCATCTTACTTGGATCCACAATCAACACTCTTGGTACTGACAGTCAGGAAATCAGAAAACATATTGCATTAGGAAAGTCTGTTGTCAGAGACCTATCCAAATAACTGAGGAGTAATGATGTCAGTTTGAAGACCTAGGTGCTCCTGATTCAGGCCATGGTCTTTCCAATCACTTGCTATGCATCTGAGAACTGGACAATGAATAAGGATGACAGAAGAAGAATTGATGCCTTTGAGCTGTGAGTTGGAGAAGAATGCTGAATATCCCATGGACAGCCAAAAGAACAAACAGAAATGTCTTGGAAAAGTGCAGAGTGCTCGTTGGAGGCAAAGATGGTGAAGCTTCATCTCACACACTTTCAGCATGTTGCTAGAAGAAGTTATTGCTTGGAAAGGTGGAGGGTCCGCTAAAGAGGGAAAGACTCTCAACCAGGTGGATTGACACAGTGACTGCAACAATGGGCTCAAGTGTGTCAGAGATGATGAGGATGGAACAGGATAGGACAGGGTTCAGATCTGTTGTTCATAGGGTCGCTATGAGTCGTACTCGACTAGACCGTACTTAACAACAACAGTGGCAGTGGCTTTGGTTTTCTGGCTTCGGAGAAGCCAGAGCCCCATCCTTAACATACATTGGAGCTGCTCCCTTCCCATCAAGCAATGCCCCATCGACAATGATGAAGATGGTTATAGTCACAACAAACCAAATCCTATTCCACGCCTGACTCTCGGATTCTCACCACAACGCTGCAAGACAGTTGTTTTTAATCTCGACTTTACCAATGCAGGAGAGTGGAGGGAGACTCCTAAGGCCCTTCTTGATCCTGACAATACCCCACGTTCACCATTGCTACCTGCCGTAATCCCCCTAATCTTGAATCTTGTTTATATTTGTTACCAAAGAACAGGTATAATGGCTTCTAGATCGCTCATGGTCCAGACTCTCACCCCCTGGACTCCCATCCTCTAATCCAGCCCCATGTCCTATCTCCCCAGTGTCCTTTGACTCTCATGTCCTATCATGGCACAAAGATTTCCTCAATCTTTGTATAAAATCCTGGTCCTCGTTGTGGCCATCATCTCTCTGGGAGTTCCTCAGTGGTGCCTGTCTGTCCCAACTCCTTCTTGCAATACCAGGCCTTTCTTCTGAGGCACCTCTAAGTGGACTTGAACCTCCAACCTTTTAGTTAGTGACTGAACATGTTAATCATTGGGACCAATCAGGGACTTTATCATAGCACTTGGCAAAACCCCGACACAATTATGTCCAATTTTCTACATACTTTTTACTCACATCCCTAAAATTGATGGCATCTAACTCCAACAGCATTTGTAACACTATCAGGAAAGACCAGTTTTTACAAAAGGACATGGTGTTCATAAAAATAGAGTCAGTGGAAATGTGGGATGCCCCCAATAAGATGGATTGATGCAAGGATTGTGGCAAATGGTACAGTCACACCAATGACCATGAATACGTAACAGGATCAGGCAACACTTGGTTCTGTCGATAATGCCCATCTTGCGATGAACAATCTCCTTCCGCGTGATTTACAGCCCCAGAATCTCAATGTTGCATGTCAGTTCTGGCTTGGTGGTAATGAGTCTGAGGGGTTTTTTTGATCTGAGCCAACTGAACAACAAATGATAGCAAAACCCAAATGTGACACCTGGTACGAATGATAATTCATATTGGCTCATTAATTTAATTTGCATTAAAGCATGAGATAAAAGGAAACAATGAAGACTCATATCAAACTTGACTCATCTGCCAGTAACACAAACAACTTGTGCTGAGTCACTAACACTCTGAATATTAGAAGACTATTTTCTCAATTCTTTCATGATTATTTCAATGAGATGACAATAGATGCCTTACAACTTATGTGTAGCCTACATTCATGATTTCCCAGCACCCCTTGAAGTCTAGACAGTCAGTAAACAATGAAGGAAGGCTTTGCCAATTTCTGTGGTATAAATATTCCCAATATGGCCAATTTCTAGTTAGCAACATGACATTATTGGACTCAGAATTGGAAAGAGATGTGCAGCTGCATCCCATGATACAGTTACCCCTGCACTACAGACGTAAACAACCTCAGGACCTCAGGCCATGGTAGAACAAAGCATTAAGGGTTCATTTATTCTTATTAAACTATATTTTTTCCTCAAATCCTCAACTTCTTTGTTTGTTTTTGATAATGCACCTCAACTTCTTTTGAAAGAGGACTTTCAATATATGCTGTTACGAAAGAAGAAGAATTACAGCACCGATGCTGCTGCTGTGA